ATGTAACTTGAACTCTTGGCACTTGAATTGTGATTTGGGCACTTAAATTGTGTGATAAGATTGAAAAGGAGTTAGTTTTAAAATGGGTATCTAACTTTTGATTGAAAAATAATTTAGTTGTGAAATCAGTGCCGTTAACTAGACACATAGATCGCTTTAATTAGATATTAGATAGAGAAAGCTCCTTATAAACATCTAGATTACCTCGATTAGATGTCAAATGACAAAATAGGGTGCTTTGGAAGTCCGCACCAGTTGCTGTAAAAAATGTACAATGCACCACGATACATAGCATAAAGACAAACTTGTCACATCACATCTTTGCTATTTTGCACTAAAATTTTATTTCTCAACGAAAATGAAAATTCCTTGTTATAAAACTATATTCCATACTTTCATCAAATTATTTTACTATGATTGGTGATATAGAAATATGTAGTGGAACATTTTGAAAACTTGAAATATTGTTGTGCAAATTTTACACACTTCATAATCCTTTTAGGTTAGTCCGTTAATTACCTCAATTTTAGAGTTAATTGAAAATTAGTAATGGAGATGGAGGAACTGAGGAGCTTTGTTAGGACTTGTGTTCTTGAAGGATTAAGGACGTTTTGAGTCTTGCTATCTCTTAAGGTAAGCTTTCCAAGTCTTCTTGCTATCTCTTAAGGTGTGTAGAGAAGAGTGGATTTTCAAACTTTAAAAAGTATGGATCTGAGTCCATTGGCTTGAATAGAATTAGTGAGAGTTATTTGAGTTAGTTACACTAAGGATTGGTGAATTTATGCAACCTTAGGTTGTTGGCCCTATTAATGGTCAAAAATGAAATTTATGAGGGTGGTTGAAAGTGTGTAAATGCATTAATGGTGAGTAAGGAGTTTATTGATGATAATGGAAGCTAGTAGGAGTTAATAAATCTAATAAGTATGCTTAAAGTGTTGATTAAAGGGTTGTAATTTTGTTAATGGTGATATTAATGATTATAAGTGTATTAGCCCTAGAATTTTAATAAAATTAAAATATATAATATTACACTTTAAATGTATTTTTATTAATTTTGGAACAAATTTAACAAGAGGAAGGGCTAGTTTGATAGAGATTATGCAATCATTTAATTAAAAAGTCTAGCGTTCGAATCTAAAAGAGGCAAAATGGGGGCTTTATTTTTCTATTTTTTCTCCCTAAAATTATTGAGTTGTCCTTTTCAAATCTCATAATTTTTTCCTTCCTTCTCTTCTTGGACTGTTTGAGAACCCAAAAAGATGGAGAGAGGAGTTTTGATTTTTTTCCCCTTCATTCTTCCCTGTTACTCCACCCCTTCCTTTTTGTTTCCAACTGTCGTTGGTGAAGGAGGATGATTGTTGCCGCCTTGCAACGTTCAAGTCTTCTACCATTCTTTTCGTTTTCATTTGTCTTCACCAATTGCTGTTCGTGTTCATGTCATGGGTGGGCGTGATCAAGTAATTTAGATACTCGATTTGCTGTCCAATCCAACCTAAAGATGGAATTTGGTCATTTTGTTATAAAAGACCAATTTTTATCCAAACTGAATGGGGTTAGACTGGGTTATATCAAACCAAATTATTTTTGCACAGCTTGATTTTTCTCTTGTCCTTGGTCAAATAAAAATGTTGAGAGTGTTCAACCTCGAGTACCCACCGTACCAAACTCTGGCCCCCTGTATTTTCTTTTTACGGCGGATGCCCATAGAATTCTTGATGAACCTGTGGAGCAAAATACTAGGTTTTGACTTGGAAATTTGTAACACAGTTCGCTGAATTTAAAATTGATCATTAATGAAATTGGTCATCTCAAGTAGAATGGGCTAGATGTTGTGGTCCCTCTTTAAGCATTCGGGATAAGCTAATGCTTGAAGGAATTACATCCCGTCAACAACAAATATGAATTCCATGTTAACGGATTACAAGGTCATTGTCTAACTACTTTTCTATCACGTATTATTTGACAAAACAGATTTAATTATTTACAAGCAAGTGCTCTTTTGATTATTTAATGAAATATAATCGAATTCTAAAATTTTTTAAATCAGCTTGGAAGTTGCTCTCTCTAATTCTATCATGAGATACTTTTAATCAACTTACTAGAACTAATGAGCGATGTTGAGTTGTTAATTTTATTAAAAAAATAAATTTTTAATTTTACTCATATTAAATAAGGTTAATAATACTAGCATATGGTAATGGTTCGTCACAGTTTTACAGATATTGCTAGCTAAGATGATAAACAATAGCCAATAGTGATGATTGACAAATGGTGACAGTTAAGGTCACTAGCAACGGTGACTAATGAAGGTAGCAATTAATAGTAATCGTTGATGATGTTTGTTAGTGATAGTTGATAAGAGCATCAAATACTATACTTTTTAAGGGTAGCTCTTAATTTATATTTAACTTTTTTATGGTAGATTTGTAACTATTTAAATTAATATTTATAATTTATTTTTCTGAACAAATTATCAAGTACTTATTGTTAATTTGAGTTTTTAAGATCTTTAACACGGAAAAAGCTGAACCGTGACTTACCCGTTGTGCCGCCCGCCTGTCCCCACCGAGTACCGACCCAAGTAAATGTTACGCTTGGGTCGGTGAAAATGTTGTTACAAAGAATTGTTTTATGTTGTCTCATGCTCATGACTCATCGGTGCTGGCGAGCCACGACGTGACGATAAAGGGCTCATAAACTCTGGAATTATGGATTGAGATCATATGCAGTGGCTTTTTTACAGTGATTGTAAAATAAATAATCATGACTGCTAATTTTATTCAATAGTTGAGAAGACAGTAGTATATTAAAAGTCCTCTCATTTATAAAGCACACAATCATATTTATCAAAATTTATTATTTTTATTCTATGTTTATTAAAATAAAAAATCATAAAATTTTTAATCACCAATTTAAAGAGTATATATTTAATTTGGGCGGTCAAGTTAAATATTATTTTTAAAAAATTTTTATCCATTAATTATCTAGATATATTTTTGAAAATTTAGATATAATATTAATTTTTTTAATAAATTCTATAATTTTTATTTGATAAATACAAAAATAAAGATAATATCCTGAAACTTTCTAAAAAATATTTTTTAGAAAAATTACAAATTTAAAATTTAAAATCTAAACCATTTAGATTATATCTAAATAATCAATTTATAACAATTGTCAAAATTTTAATATTAAATTTAAACAGTAAATTAAATATAAATTTTCACAATAAAACAGTTTTGTTAAAAATATAATTGTATATTTTGTAAATGAGAAGTTTTTTTATGCACATATTTCTCATCAACTATTAGATTCATAAAATACACTATCATAATTACCCACTTCTCAACCATTGTACAAAAAAACTACTGCACATGATCCAAATTCCTAGAAATATGTATTAAATTAATACTCCCTCCATTGTTTTTCTTATAAGGAATAACTAATTAAGTAACTAAAATTAAGATTAAGAAATAATATCAAAACAATTAAGTTTCTTAAAATATTCACTTTATAGTCATAGATTTAAATTCTTTCTAAAATTGCTCACAATATTTAATTTCACATGTAGTTTGTTAATAATACCGACTCTAATTTAAACATATTCAATTAGCATTAAGATTGGTAAGTTTAGGTTTAAAATTTCATATTTAAAATAATCTATTTAAATAGTCTTAAAAAAAATTAAGGATTATTTTTTCTTTTCGATTATTCAACCATGAACATCTAGTACCTTAAATTTTCATTTCATGCACTACAATTTTTTTTAACTTTAGAAAATAATATATTGAACACTCTATCATTTAAAAGTTAATTTGATTATAAATTGATTTAAAATTGCATAAAAGAGTCTCTAAAATTATAAAATGACTTAAAAAAACTTAAAAGTAAGCTTATGAAAATTAATACTAATTAAATCTCATAAATTACAAATAAATACTAATATACAAATGTTATTTCTTACTAATATGAAATGTCAAAATACAATTTTGACCAATCAATTTATATTAGTTATTGAGTAATTAATGGATCATAATTATTGACAAAAACATCAATAAATAATTAAAAAATTATATTTTTATAATAATATCACATTAAAATATATAATAATATAAATAAATATTTACAAATATTTATACACAATTTACAAGTTAGCTCTTGATATTTACACTTTCCCTGTAAATTCACAAATTTACTAATGTATCTTTGGTAAAGAACTTTTCTAATGTATCTATTATTTATCAATGAACTTGTTTGGCACAGGTGGTAAATTTTTGTGGGACTATTTGAAGTACTTATAAATTATTACACTATTTTATGGACTTAACTGATGTTAACTTTTTTGTAGGATATGCATTTCTAATTTTATAGGTCTTTTTACTATAATTTTTAAATCATTTTCTTAGTTTTTTGTGTCAACTAAATAGTAAAAGCTAATTTTTTTTTTACTGCAGGCATTTGATACACCCTTTTAAATGCTAAAGAAAATTATATCACATATAGGTGAGTGAGTGCTTAAGGGAAAAAATATACTTTAATTCTTAAGAAAAAAAATTAAAGAAAGAATATAACCAAGTTAAGGTTTGAAGTGAAAATGAAAAATGAAAAATGATAATCTTATCTATATTTTTTAATTGGTGAGAGATGAGACTTAGAGAGGAGACAAGATATGAAAATAATAGAGGCACCAAGAGAGAGTGGAAGGGAAAAGAGAGACTTGAAGTAATTAAAATTTCAAATATCAAGATTATAAAAAAAATTGAAATTACAAGCAAATTATAGTAAGAAATGAACTCAAATTAATAAATTTTTATATATCTAGATATAGATTGGGTCAAAATTTAAATGTAAATCTTCATTAATTCAAACATTGCATGAATAAAAAATTTTAAGAAGCTACATTCGTCATATACAGCTGCGTTTGGAAGCAGTTGGATACTGTTTGATTTTGTGTTTTCTTGGCTCTAATCCAAGACGACGAATATAAGCCAAGGAACATAACATGAGGAATCCATGGAAGAAAAGAAAGCCGGGTGGGTAAAGTCAATTTGAGAAAAAGCAAAAGCTGGTTCATCCAGAAAGGAATTAGATTCCAAGGACCTTCCACGAGCAATGATGTTAGCTTGGAACGCCCCTGTCCCTGTCTTTTGAAGCAGTCAAAATCATGCACGTCACTGTTCTGAACCAACCAACTTCATTGATTTGTCTTCAACCATCCATCCTCGTCAACTATTGATCAATCTTCTGATTCTTGCAGTATTTCTAATCGGCTCTTCAGCATAACCCCAAATTACTGCAACATCAAAAACACACCTCCATCTCCTGCATGGACAACACTTCCTCCAAAAACAGAGCTCCTAACTCCATTAATCCTCAAAGCTGGTGTTTCTTTGGCTGCTTTATCTTTGGCTGCCTGGATCATTGCCAAGAAAAACTACACACAGCCTCTTCAAACAGACACGAGGGGGTCGATTCACCTGAAACCAATGATGCTCAGCAGGGAGTCAAACCTGAAGAAAGCTCTCATGGTCTCCCTTCCAAGGAAGATGAAGAACATGACTCGGCATCCCGCGAAAATAATCCGAATTTACAACAGGAGATTAGCGAGCTGAGAAGCCAGATTGAAGGTTTGCAAAAGAAAGAATCGGATTTGCGTTTGCAGTTCGATCGGTATTGTGATATGAAGGAGCAGGAATCTCTGCTGATGCAAATCATAAATCTTTTGTCGCTGGAGGCTGCTCGCGTTGAATTACTGCAGAAGGAGATTTCGTTCAGGGAGGCAGAGAATGGTAAGTTGGAGGGGTTCCTGCTCCAATGTATGAGAATTATTGAGCAGCTCGACTGTTGGAAATCTCAAAACAGGTTGCTTCGTGGGAGCCTTAAGAAACTGCAGAGAAAATCAAAGGCACAGTCTCGCCTGACGAATAAGCAAGCTCTGAAGATTGAAGCCCAAGAAGCTGAGATTTTGGAAAACCGTGACGCCTTGCAAACGGGGATTGATGTTATGGATCAAATAAAAAACGAAGTCAGAGACCTACATAGCGTCTTGGAACAATTGCAGAACGAGAAGAATGAACTTCTGAAGAAGCTTGACGAGGCAGAAAAATCGTACGCATCAAAGGTAAGTAACTGACACATAATTTAAAAAAAAAAAATAGCGAGTTTGCGTATTGGTTTTGGTTTTGGTTTTGATGAGCATTAAACACGAGGTTTCCCATATGAAGGTTGAAGCACTAGATGCAAGCAAGGAAGAGTGTAAGCAGCTTGTAAAGGAAATGGAGGAGATGAAGAAGGATCGAGAAGACGAAGTGAAAGAACTGATTCACCTGCGTTGGATCAACGCTTGCCTAAAGCACGAGCTGGAGAGGCAACAAGATGAACAGAAGAATGAGGTAAGGGAACATAGAAAAGACAAAGTAAGGAAGCGATGGGGTAACACAACATGAAACAGAGTATGACTTAGATGATGCGTTCATAGAGCAGGACCATGACATAGTGCAGGGACGCACCCACGTTAGAAAATTATCCGACATGATCCAAAAAAATTTTAGTTTTCCCTTTTAAAAAATTTCAATTGACCCCATCATTTAAAAAAAAATATTCTTGTCTCCTCAAAAAAATTTCTTATTTCACTGAAAATTTGATACTTAAAATCTTATCTATGTAATCTGTCTTAAGTAGGAATAGTTTTAGAATAGAAGGGTAATAATTTAATAAAACATTTTGCTTATAGAAAATTTTATCACAAATTAATTTTCTTCTATACAAAAGAGATACACAGATTTAATTTAATAAAAATAAAAAACATGAAACTAATAGACATAAAAAATTTTTTTATATAAAGATAATTTGTTATTGTAATTTTATGTTTTATGCATTGTTTTTAGTATTTAATTTTATTAAATTATATCTTTAATATAATTTAATAAATACTTAAATTTATATTTTTAATAAGATATTAATATTTATGTTAAGATAAATTATGCCCCATCGACTTATTTCCGTCACTGACACAATGCCTTGCTCTGGGGGATGTTCAGAGCGATGGGGCTTGTTTCATACAGAACAAGTTGGCGAGAAGGCTGAGGAGATGGGTGGAAGGCAGTGAGAAGGCGAGAGTGAGCCCAGTGGAGAAAGACGGCCATGAAAGCCATACTCATTCATATAAAGCATAAAAAACTCCGGTTCCTGCACGAACAAGGTCTTATTACTAATTCACCTTCCACGCTAATAATATGTTATTTACCGCAGAGTAAGCTTCTGCAAAACAAGAATCTTGTACATATTCTAAAATAATCTAACAGGACAGAAATGAATCAGATTGAGAGTATATATCTGCAGCCGCAATATTGACTTTTGCTCATGTCCAATGACGGACACGTATCTCCTACAATGAACTTAAAGCTTTGGTTATGGGAGCCCCGAGTCATACCTGCAGAGAGCTCGTTCAATACAGTACGGAGGAAAAAGGATTCTTCCCATTTGATATTTCCTACCCCATGTCATCAATAGAATGCTCGGTGAAAAATAAAAATTATAATGAAGATTAAAGAAAAATAACATAATTTGTTAAATCTCCATTTGTAAGAGTTAAGGAATTAAAAATAAGACCAAAAGGAGGAATGAAACAAAATTAAGTAGTTAAACTAAATAGGTCAATTTAATCCGATGTTTAAAATAAGTCAATTTTCAGTTTAGATTTAGACTTTTCAGTGGTGAAATTAAGGTAGTTTATACTTATTTTAAGTAATCATGATTAAATTATTTAAACAATAAAAGGAAATTTTTTGTGGGGGAAAAAGTGGTTTGACGTCGGCAAGTTTCTCGGTGTTTTGACAATCGCCAGAATCTGGTCAAGGACGGCCAGCCAGTGCGTCTCCGACAATAACTTTTTCTGATAAAGAATTTTTTAAAATTATAATTAAGGACGACGGCCGTTAATTAAATTTTCAATACTTTGAGGTATTAAATTATGATTGTCATTTTTTTTTCTTATACAAGTGGTTGTCATTTTTATGTAACTCTTATTTGTAATTTTCACTCAAAGGGAAACTTACAGAATTTGTTAAATATTAATTTGTAAAAGTTAAGGGATTAAAAATTAAGCCAAAAGAAAAAAAATAAAAATTAAAAATAAATAAAACTAAAGAATGGAATTAAATTTAAAACAAAATATAAGTATAGAACTAAATTGAATTAAGGAAGTGACTATTATACTTTAAATAATATTAAAAAGTTAGAAGTATAAATATATTTTCATCTACAATTATTCACAAAAAAAAATCAAGTAAAAGATTTTCAATTTAAAAACACAACTTGCTCGCATATATTAAGTTATTACTAATTTTATCAGTATGAATTAACCGTTCTTTTGAGCTTATATAGATCGAAAAATTCTTGTTTGTCAATTCTCCGATGGCACTTACCCGGAATAACCGTGTTAAGAACCCTTTGATTTTTTTTTTTTTCTTTTTCCAGAGGAAACTTGAGTTTGGGATCATAAACATGTCTTGTTCGTGAAATATCAGTAATACAATCTTCCGACTGAGACGCCAAATTTTGTGATTTCTATATGCTTCAAAATTGTGGATGGAAGGAAAGGAACGTTATCCTCTATTCCTTCTCTGGTTCGCTCCCAAACCCAAGGGGAAAAAAAAAAAAAACAAAAGATTCTGATCTCTTAACTGCCAACTAACCCCATGGAACTCTCCCTATTCAGTCTGCAGTGCCGTCACACGATCCTCCATTCCCCTCTAAGCTGCATTCACTCTCCCAGTAAATTCTTCCTCCTTCTTCTTTTGAGCTTTGGCTTTGTTAAACCCAAAACTAACGCGCGATTGGTTATACTTATATCCCCTCAGGGACGAAACACAAGACCCTTTATAGCAGAAGTTCATTTAGGCTACCCTGCCGCTGTTCATATTCTTCCTCAGATCAATCTGCTACTGAACCATCCACACTGTCCTTGCAGATTGACGGAAGAAGGGCATTGCTCACTGTTCTTCTGACGACTGGTTGGTGGTTAGATCACTATCGTCCAAGATTCTCTTTCAATTTTTCCCATTACGTTATCTTTTTATAGATTTCAATTTTTCCCATTACGTTATCTTTTTATAGATAATTTTTACCAGTTAATGAACCCACTAGCATGGCTCAAGTGTGTTTTATCTTATTTCAGCTGCTGGAGTTTATGCGTGTGATGTAGCTGAAGCAGTTAGCACAAGTAGAAGAGCTGTATGATTCCCCATCATCCCCTCTCATCGCCTGAGTTATTCTGAATGATTGTTTCATGTTCTAGTTGCATTTTTGGTTTTCTGCAGCTTCGTGGATCAAAAATCCCGGAAAGTGAATTCAAAACCCTGCCTAGTGGTCTTAAGTCAGTACATAACTATTACCTCCCCAGTAATCTTGATCTTTCTTTCTTTTGCATTTGTTTCTTATGTCTCATGATTTTAAAATTGTCAAGAGTATTTTAACCTCTCGAAATGGATATGCCTAACAAGTTTCCTAGACTACCAGAACCTGTCAATTTTATATGCTTGATGATGCTGCATTATAATTGTTTACTCTTAAGCTTTCACTCGCATCATTTTAAATTTCTTTTTTCCTAAAAAATGTTCATAACTATTTTGATGCTACGGTCTGATGAAACTGTGGCGTCATCATCAGGTATTATGATTTGAAGGTCGGGAGTGGAGCTGAGGCTGTGAAGGGATCCCGTGTTGCTGTACGGTTGACTCTGTTAAGCGTGATTCACGCATTTTTGCTCTTGCTTTTGATATGCAAAGTTGACTCGAGATTGATAAGATCTTCAAGATTTATATATAAAACAGAATAAACCTTTCATAATTTGCTGCCATGGGGAGTCTCAGGCGAGAAGGAGAAAGAATAGCAAATGATTAGGTGATAGGAGGGGCAAGGGAGGAAGTATCTAGCAGAAATCATAGCTTGCTGTATATAAATAACATAAGAGTATTAGTTTTCCACCATTCACTCTTCAAGTCCTTAACAATGTATTGAAGTATTATCAAATTTGATCTTTAGTGCTGATCGCGAGTCTGAAAATATTGTGAAAGGTAAAAGTAGGCATAATTCAGAGCTTGTAAATGCTCTCACCCAATCGATCAATCGATGCGTATCGTGCAACCTCAGATGTACTGTTTCAAGATGAAGTTTTGTGGACCAAAAGGCTCGCATATGTATACAAAAGAAAGTGATATATGATTGGTTGATTTTCAGTATTGATGCATTTGATTGTGAAAATGAGGGAGCCGTGGACCTGATTCATTTCCTTCAGAAGATTTAATACATAATAATACACTCTTTTATTTGTCCTGTGTTTGACACATGCGTCTACATATATGAATATCGTCAGCTTCTTCATGGCTTCAATCCTTTTTTGTAATACAGAATGGAAATGTTAGTATTTATGATTAATTTAGTAATTTATATTGAATATGTAATTTGGAAATATGTCTGTTTGGATCACTTTTAATAGACATGGTCTGTCATAGGAATTTCATTCTTGATGATGAATTTGATCAATGTGAATAGTTTGTTTTTCAATATTCATCCATTTGTTCTGGTTTTGGTTCTAGTTCTTCATCATTTTGGTTTCTCTTTATTAGCTGATTATGTTTCACCCAGATATATTCAAAATATCATTTTGTAGGTTCACTATGTTGCTAAATGGAAGAATATTACCTTCATGACTAGCAGACAAGGAATGGGTGTTGGAGGAGGAACGGTATGATCAAACTCCAGAAATTTTGCACCGCTTTATACATGATCCTCATCAAGGCTAGCATTGTTTTTTTCGGTTACTGCAGCAGCAGTACTTTCTGGATAGTCATGATGTACGTATATGTTATATTTTTTGCACGGAAAGTTTACTTATTGATTAAGATTCTTAAATTGTTGCAGCCATATGGATTTGATGTAGGCCAATCTGAGAATGGAACTGTCCTTAAGGGTTAGATTTAGGGGTGCAAGGAATGCGAGTAGGCGGCCAGGTAATGACAGACCATAATACCAGAGTTCTTTGCTAAGCTGTACGAATATGCTATTAAAAGCCAGACAATCTGTAAAACTCTGTGTGTCAAGGCAGGAAGCTTCATTGGAGCACTTGTTAGTACTTGGTAGTTTGTGTTGACTAGTGGGCATCTGTATAGTATTTTTCCCAAAGTCTGAGTTATACATATTGGGGAATATTTCCTTTGGCTTCATAGGTTCTATTGTCAATAACTATTTATATAAACAACAAATTTTTATTTCTCTCTAAATTTCTAGCCCCTAAACCTTTATATAGAAGTTTTTGGAAGAAATAGGTGGAAAATTCAGATTCACTTATATTCGGTCTGCAACCATATTAACATATTAACATATTAGAATAAAAGGAGAGCAGTTAATTAGCTGAGTTTTCTGCAGAGGTTGTTAATTGTTCCTCCTGAACTGGCCTATGGAAGTAGAGGAGTCCAGGAGATCCCTCCAAACGCAACAATAGAGGTAACTTGTTCGATCAGTTGCTATGGTTTCTATCCAAAGGATGATAGTAAAATAGTATAATGATTATTACTACTGATCACAGTGTCTATGGTAATTATATTCACTAATATCAACTACTACAGCTGTACAACTTGAATGATGTATGCCTTTTAAGAAACTCCTTCGCTGTCCATACAATTTCATTACTGCCACTGAATTCCCAAAGTTTACACTCTGGAGAATGTGTCCCTAAGGAATCTAGTGTAGTTGGAAAGGTCAGTTCGCCTGTTCCATGATCCAAGCTCCAAATATACTCGCGCTAATTTAAAGGGCAAACCATCCGTGTTACTAGCGTAGCTAAAAACTATCTTCTGATTATAGATTTGTTCATGTTGCTGGTTAGTAGTTTCTACACATTAATCAATAATCGGTAAGGTTCTCTTAGTGTAGTTCTACGTTACTTTATACGTTCTTATCTTATTTGTAATATTCATTTTTACTATTTGCGACTTTCTCCAAACTGCAGTTAGATGTTGAGCTGCTTTCCATCAAACAAAGCCCATTTGGGTAAGTAACAGTGCTCGAAATAGAAATTTGTTTATTATTACTATTATAATAACTTGCCTAGTTCATACTATCGGTCATGTATTGTGCAGGACTGCGGTAAAGATAGTTGAAGGCTAAGCTTTGCTATGCTATTACTATGAGTAAGGCCATGTTGGCTCGGCAATTTAAATGTCAAAAGATATATAATTTGGCCGATTATGTCTAGAGGGCGTAAATTAACCTGAAAATTTTCAGGTTTCTCTTCTGGAAAAGAATGAAGGCAACAAAAAGGGCGAAACTGTGTAAACCATGCTCTAGTAAGCTGATCATCCCGATCGGTCTGAGGACTGGTATTAGCGGGGTGGCAGATATCAGAAGCGGCTCTTCTGTCTGAATCTGAACAGCCATAAATATCTGTTAATTTATTACTACTACTACTCCTCCTCTTGTTCTGACTTCTGCTCCTTTTATTGAGAGCCCTTTCATGTTGTCTTCAAGTAAAGAGGGTGCTTCATATTATTTTGTCTATGTAGGGCAAAACGTCCTTCGAAGCTATGAAAAAAATTATCACCGAACGTGGAATTTCCGGACATAAAACTTGCACTTTCGCGATCGTCCACATTTATATAGTTTGCGGGGCCACCTTAATTTAGATGGAACCACCCTTTGAAAGTTGTGCAGAGTTGTGAATGCGTGTGATGTGTTTGTGTGAGTGGCATTAGACACCAACATTCTAAATGTTGCTGTTGCTTGTTTCATCCTGAGATGCAACATTAGTGAAAGCTGAAAATTTCCCCATCCCGCATCATGGGATATCTAAAAGACACGTAAGAGGTAGCGCTACTTATATTACACATTTTGATGATGTGCAGAAATTAGTGGCTATGATGATTATCCACGCGACTACAAGCGCATGACAATCTTTTAACAAGTGTCAAGCCTTAAGGAAATTCATGCTATTGATAGGCATTGTATAGAGACTAGTTGTCAGTATTGAGACCGTCTCTTAAAGTGAAAACAAGCATCAAGCCATTCTCAAAGCTTTCACTTAGCTGTTGCGGGGAAAATAAAGTGAAAAGCCAAATATAAAGGATTTTGTCCAACACCAATGCATCATTAGGATCGGAGATGGGGTGAGGAATAGTAATGACTAATGAGACGTGTTTTGAGAAAGTTGTTGTGGGGCTCTTATAGTCTGGCCCTAGCCATAATTTTTTCTCCTTTCATGGCCGAACTGCGCTCTCTATATTTAGATGTTTAAAATTTTGAATGAAGGTCATTGACTATTGAGTAAGAAACTATATGTTAATGTTAAATATTCATTCATATGTGGCAGAGTTGAAGCTTCAAAGGCATCATATTAATATGGAAAATAGTGACAATAGTAAGTGTAGCCCACTAGAAAGGAGCGAAATTCTAAGTGGGGATTTGGTTGGGTCGTGGGTGGGGGGAAAATAGAGAGATTGGAATTGGATGCTTTCTTTCTTTTTTTTGGGTGATAGAATAAACTCATCAAAATTACAAGTGGATCTGAGATTGGAAGAATTGTTGCACTAGATAGACTGAAAAGGAAATTTAACTTTATTATACTAGGAATGCATCTCTAAAAGGTCATGATTAGGATTAGCTCAATCCATGAACTCCTACTCTAGCTCCCCCTCGTGAAGGGTTCCCCATTATCTTTCTAAGCATCATATTGATGTTCTTAATCATTAATCCGTATAAATTGTGGATTTGGTGCACAACTCCGCTCATGATACCAAGGCGTAATTGCCCTCCCTTATGTGTCTTCTGATTCACACACACAAGCAGCCATATATCATATAACTGCATATTACTCATACTACTAATAACAATACCAATACACAACCAATGAGAATTAGATATAACAAAAAGATTAGTCTTTCATAAAATAATGAATAAAGGTTTGAATCCCTATTAAAAAGAATGTTCATATTTAATATTTGACTGCATTTCGAATAAGATTGTTTCAAACAATAATAATAATACATAAATAGCATGTGAACAAAGCTCTATATGTCAATAGCCATACTGAAAATAGCTTATTTTGCTTTTGATGATCATATTACTCATCTTAAAAGAGTATATATGAGCCTCATTTATGAAATTTTGTGCCCTTTTTAACTTAAGTAAAAACTAGTAGGCGCACATATCTATTTTGTTTAATTATCAAGAACATTAAAAAGCTCATCATGAGATTGAAAAGTTAGCTTTGACCATATCTATAGGGAAGCAAACAAATAAACCGATCTTTTTATCTATAAAACATCCTACAGTGATTTTGATATTTTTATTTTTGACAACCTGCCTCCCGATTATTTAAACTTTATGGCTTTAAATATGATTAGACCTTAATCTTTTTTGCACAGTTTTTCCATAGCCTTGTATTAAAAAAAAAAAAAGCATTGCCTTAACATTTAGATTCTTTGCAATATAATGTTGCAATATGTCAAAATTTTAAAATTTCAAAACAAGTCTTCTTTTTCTCTAGAAGATAGTCGCAATACATGAGGGGCCAGAATAGGAATAAGAATTATGATGGTATAACCTTGATAGGCGATGGATTAGCCTCGTGGGGGGAACCATATAAAAAAAAAAAAAAAGATCACTTTAAAGGAGTGGGATAAGTCAAAAGCAACTTCATTGGTCACTACAATGCACATATATATACAATAAACCTGTGTGTCAGAGCGGGATACGCAATTATGGGGATCACCAAAGTCTTTCCATTTTTCCGGATTATTTGGGGGGGAAAAGGCTTTCCATTGATAGTAACGGCAAGCTGGCACACTGAATTCATTACTCCAAAGTGATTATGCACTCTAGGACCACATAAACGCTTGAATTATTCTTTTACCCCTCCACCCAGCCCCTCTTTTCCTTTTCCTTTTCCTTGCTAGGTTTTACAGAGAAAAGGGGGGGGGGGGGTTGGAAGTATTACTACTTAAGCATGACGATAAGCTGATGTCTTGTTCTGACAGGGACTGCAATAAACATGTATGCACACAATCAAAACATCAATGACCTTGTTTACTGTGATCATTTTGAAACTTGGTTAAAGAAGAACAAAACAAGAACAAAAATTGCAATGAACATAGATGTTCACAACCTGGTTTGACATGCAAAGCATGCTAAAATATTTCAGAACAGTGAGAAGAGAAAAACAGTGAACTTACTATGTCCTCATATGGTGGCCCAGCATGAATTTTTATGATGCTTGCTCGCCTCACCATTGCTGCCATCCTTCTCGATGGTGTAGGTTGGCCTTTGTCCTGTCTACATGGAACCTTTGCTTGTGTTTATGGCGTGACATTCCTATATCTAGAACAGTAAATGAGAAAATATTGTCTCTTGCAAATTGACTTCGAAGTGCGAGGGCCATAAGCTGTGGCAGCATTTTATTATGCCTTAATGGGAAGTTTCTCCACTTTAATCATATGCTACTCGATTAGATTAAATAAAGAAAGAATGAACCTCGCAAAAACGAAGTAGCGAGTGTTGAAGCCTTTTCTCAATGAACATTCCCGATACAGAGAAAACAGCTAGAAACCTCTCATCATTCTGAAGGGTATCAACTGGTCCCCATAAGTCGCCAAAATTTCATGGTATTCCATATAGATTCTTTAGCCAACTTTTTGATTTTCATTGCGCTCACTTTATTCCAACGTAGTAGCCCTTCTTATTCATCCGTCGTCCTTCCCATCTGTAACGTGTGATCAATCAGTCATCCCCTTGTTCATGCAGAATGATCACTGAACCAAAAATAAACATAAGCTCACGTTTCCGATTTAGCCATGTCCTCCTCCTTTTCTTTTACCTCAGTAATCATTGTACTTCTCAAAAGACTTGCCCGAACTGTGGCTCCTTACAAATTCCATACCCTTTAAGCACGGACCCTAGCTGTGGGGATCCATCCTATAGCCTTCACTGTGATCCCAAATCAAGAAAACTCTACTTTTTCACCCTCAATGGCAGTTCCTATTCCGTTCTCAGAACCATGCCTTCGATTCAGCGCTTGGTGGTGCAGCCATCACCTTGGCTTTCTAGTTCATGTGTTACTCAAGATATGCCTGCAAGTGGTGGCCTCTGGTTAAACCAGTCACTTCCTTTCAAAATAACTTCATCCAACACAATCTTCCTCTTCAACTGCTCCCCGCGCCTGTTAGTTTCTCCTCTCAATTGCACTTCTTCGAGTCTTTGTCACCGTTACTTGGAGAGCTCAGGACATGTTGATGGTAGAAGAGCTACTCAGTGTGCTAGCGGTCTTGGCCCTTGTTGCACCTTTGTTGCAGGGGGGATGCCTTCAGCATACAAGATACGCCTTCACAGCTCTGGCTGTAAAGCATTCAGAAGCATCCTTCATTTAGATGCAGAAAAGCCTGCTTATCAGTGGGAGGAAGGTCTTGAAATTCAGTGGGCTTCTCCTACTGAACCTCTCTGCAGGACACAAGAAGATTGCTCTGGGGCTTCTATCTGCTCACCTGCTGAAAAAAATGGAGTCTTTCGCTGTCTTTGTAAGGGCAAACACCATTGGGACCCTATTGCTGCAACTTGCTTTAAGAACAAGAAAAAGTCTAAATCACAAATCAGCTTAACAGTCTCGTTTGTGGTCATAACATTTTTTTGCCTAGCCACAGTTATGGCCATTATCTTAAGGAGGTCCAGGAAGCTCTCTCACGGGTCAAAGCAGGCCAAGACTATAGAAGATGTGATAAAGTCAAATTCTGGAGAGACACCTGCTAGGATGTTTAAACTGAAGGAGGTGATAAAAATAACAAACAGATTTTCTCAAGACAGTATTTTGGGAAAAGGTGGGTTTGGGGAAGTTTACAGAGGTGAACTCCAAGATGGGACAGCTGTGGCTGTGAAGCAAGCTAGATTGGGCAACCTCAAAAGCATTCAGCAGATACTAAACGAGGTTGCAATTCTTTCTCAAGTCAATCACAAGAACCTAGTCAGGCTCCTAGGTTGCTGTGTAGAGTCTGAGCAGCCTCTGATGATCTATGAGTTCATTTCAAACGGGACACTCCATGACCATCTTCATGGTAGGTATTCCAACTTCCTAGACTGGAAAACAAGGCTGAAGGTTGCTTTTCAAACTGCTGAAGCATTGGCTTATCTTCATTCTGCCGCACATACTCCCATTTACCATAGAGATGTGAAGTCCACAAACATACTGCTAGATGATGAATTTAACGCCAAGGTTGCAGACTTCGGGCTCTCCAGATTGGCTAACCCAGGGCTTAGTCATGTATCAACCTGTGCTCAGGGAACATTAGGCTATGTGGATCCTGAGTATTACCGCAACTACCAGTTAACTGATAAAAGCGACGTTTATAGTTACGGGGTTGTGTTGCTAGAGCTTTTGACTTCTCAGAAGGCCCTAGATTTCTCAAGAGAGCAAGATGATGTGAACCTAGCAATTTTCGTCGGTCAACATGCCGTCAACGGGTCCATCATGGAACTGGTAGATCAGAGGCTCCTAATGTCTAAGGAACCATCTGATGATAAAATAAAAACAAGCATACAACTATTCTCAGAGCTAGCACTCAGCTGTCTGAGGGAAAAGAAAAGCGAAAGGCCGAATATGAAGGACATTGTTCAACACCTTCAATGCATCATTAAAATTGCAGATCAAGTGAGGAACAGTGATGATGCATCTGTTTAAGAATGTTGTGTAACTCAGACTCGTGCAGTAGCTAACTAGCTATATATTTTTTTTTTCCCTCTTTGGCCAAACCAGCAATATCTATATTCGAGTTTCAATGGCCAAAAGGTTATTATGTAAGAAGTTATCACATTGTTAGATATTCAGACACTGCAAAGTTAAAAGGTTTGAAGGCATCACATTAATATGGAACGTGGCGGCAATGGTGTTTTGGTAATTGAAACATGATAGCGAGTCCCAGGACATGATAGTGAGCATAGCCCACTAAAAAGAAGCAAGATTCTGAGGGTGGATTCAGTTGGGTGGGAAATAAAGAAAAGACTGGAATTAGATGCTTTCTTGTTCTGTGATGGCATGAACTGATAAAAAATTCCCTAGTGAATCTGAGATTGAAAAAATTATTGCACTAAATAGGCTGAAATGGAAATTCAACTTTATTATAATTGGAATGCATCTCAAAAAGGTCATGATTAGCTCAATCCATTTCTGAGGGCATAATCTTGACGGGCAATAGAAATTAGAAAAGAAAGGATCACTTGAAATCATGATAAGTTTGAGGGCATAGTCAAAAACGTCATGATAAGTCAAAAGCAACTACATTAGTCACTACAATGCATATACCATAAGTTTGAGTGTCAGAGTGGGATTGGGATAGGCAACTTACGAGGATCACCAAAGGCTTTCCATCGTTGATAATGGCATCACTTGGTTCACTGCTTCAGGTCCAGGAGGACCCATAGACGGCTGCTTTATTCTTTTAACACCCCCTTTACTGTTTTAAAAAAGAAGGAAAAGAAACGCACAACAGTTTAAATGGCACAACAATAGGGTTAACGAGTGGCTTTCGAGTTTCTAGCATCTAAATTTAACAAAATCAAACGATATTATCTTCTTTGTTTCAAATTCTAATTATCTTTACAAGTTTAAACAAATATTTTGAAAAAATTTTCAAAAGTGATTTTTTAATAAAATAGGGGAAAAATTAGTCATTTGGTCCTTATAGTTTTGATCTAATTGTAATTCAATCTCTCAATTTTGATTCGTTATAACTCAGTTCTTGAAGTTTTGACTTGGTTATAAATTAGTCCCTGAATTTTATCTCTTACAATTTAATCTCTAAAGTTTCAACCTCTTAAACAGTAGTTCCTATATTTTAAAAAATAAAATTAGAAAGATTAAAAATATTTAAAACTTTTAATATTTATAATATTTATAAATATTAAAAGGAATTATTAATTTAAAATATTAGAAATAAATTTTAAAATATTTTGCATCTTTATAATTTTATTTTTTAAAATATAAGGACCGATATTTAAGAGGTTGAAACTTCAAGGATTAAATTACAAGAGGCAAAGTTCAAAGACTAATTTACAGTCGAGTTAAAACTTTAAGGACTGAGTTATAATAAGTCAAAATTTAAAAATTGAGTTACAACTAAGTCAAAACTACAAGGATCAAATAATTATTTTTTTCTAAAATAGAAGTTCTTTTTATTTGAAAGTTAAAACAAATGCTGTTATTTCATTTACAATCAATCTTTCCTAACATGTTTAAGCATGGCGTTAACTCAATATAGCCAAAATTCCAGTGCTTTTTATTGCTCCTCCTATCACATGACCCTCACAAGTAGAGCCAGGAATAAAAATCGAGCTTAAAGGCCCTATTTAAATAAAAGTTTAAATTTTAAAAATTAAAATTTTTTAAAATAATAAGGTTTGAGAGTCTGGCCCTGATAAACTCTATAAAAAAAGGCTCAAGCAATCCTTCAAGCCATGTTACATTATTATTAATTTTTTTCATTGATGGAATACATGTTTGAAGCCAAAAAGAACTTGCCGTCTGAAGTCTTAATCCTACACGCGTTATATTATTATTAATTTTAATTTATTTTAAAGTTAATTTAATATAATTTAATAAATATCAATGTATAGTATAAAATTTTTAATATTTTTTATTTTTTTTATAATTATTATGTTTGTGTATTTATAAAAAATAAACTTTTTTTAATCAAGATTTGAATTTTCTTACTAAAATTTTAAATGAGCATTGTTTAATTTTTAAAGGATTATGAGGATTTAAATTTTTTCATTTTAAAATATTTTAATTAATTTATAGTATTTAATTTAATTTAATTTTTTTATTTTTTTAGAACAAAGCTTACGGGCCCGACCCTAAGCCTTTTAAATAAAGGTTGAGCCTCAAAAAAAAGTAAAAAATGAGAATCGAACTTAAAGGTCAAGCTCATAAAAGTTAAACCCACTCATTTTTCCAACTCTACTCACAAGGCCAATCAACCTTTAATTTTATCTTATGTTATTGGAGTTAAAAAAATAACAATAACGTATGATTCAAGCCACACGATATTCAGTTTCATGACTTAATCAGCTCCTACATGCGGTGAGCATTCACAGACAAAAAAGCAATAAACCTAAAAACTTGACATACGTTCCATAATATGACTGAAAAGTAAAACGCAATTTTCTGAAAGGCCATCAATAAAACGGAATTGTCGAGGTAACTAGATTTCATGGACAGAGCACTTTGCCAGGCTGCTTCTCTTGCAAAATGTAAGACTCCCACAATTTTAGAGGAATTAGTTCCTGTCTGGTTGTTTCAGTTGGCTACCAAAGAATACGAAAATGCTAGTTCCAGCCAATAATCCAGTATAAAACCGAAAGATAATCTAGGCTAGAAGATTTTTTTTCGCCCAAAAGAAAGGTGAAAATTTATATTACCCCAAAATCACCATATATATTAAAAGGAGCACTGCCCTTTGTACAAAATTATACAATTGGTGTAACAATGAATTAAGGTCTGAATGAAACAGACCCAAACTAACAGATGTTAAATCGTTTCTGCCTGAAGACTTAGAACATACATTTCTACAACCAAAAGATGTTTCCATTTAACTTTTAAATCATCTACAATCCTATGACAAATCTGGATACTAGCTGGGAACTCTTACCCAAAAAAAAAAAAAAAAAAGAGTCTGCAAGCCGTCAATTGCCCAAGACATATATCTCCACTGCCCGCACCATTGGCATAATCCCAGCAAACCAGCACCTAAAATTATCTGCGGTAACGGTAGCGTTTGAAGTTGAAGTACACATGTAAAATTCCACGCTCAAATGTACATTTAAACCCTTTCTTGTGAGAATATTCCCATTCTTTGTTCACAATTCGGAAAGCCTGTCAGGGAGACATGACAACTGTTAAGTAATCTTATACAGAACTAAAATTCTGAACAAGAACAAAGAACTAATTTAATATTTTGATTGAATTATAAATCTTTCTGATCAAAACAAGAACAGCAGACTTACTATGTCCTCGTATGGAGGCCCTGCATGGAATCTTATGATGCATGTCTCACCATTGCTGCCATCCTTCTCAATAGTGTAGGTTGGGGCCTTAGTCTTGTCTACAAGGTCTGGATAGAAAATATTAAATTTATATCCCTGTACAATCTTTGGAGGTGGGTTGTCATGATCATAGTGAGTCTGGTTATATTTGTTCCACTCATATCCAGTGTGGACACGGTTAAAATATTTTGGCTTTCTGGGCCGGTATTTGTCATGCCACCAATAAACCTGCTCAAAAAGTTATCATGTCAAAAATTCGCAAGAGAAAAAACAGACTAACAAACACATCACTAATAGTTTTAGATACCAAATAAAATATGTCACTCTCACTAATGTCAACTTATTCTATGGAGGGTAGCCAGGGGATTTCGTAACTGATAAAACAATATACAAGAAAGGCCAAGTCCTCCAAAGCTCCTTCTATAACTACCATCCACCACTTTGCAATAATTAAGAAGCAAATGGCCCACTCCAACTACGAGAAAACAGGGAAAATAACTTCTTTTTGTTTAAATTTTGAAAGTTTTCTTAAGCTTCAAAACCTGGCAAATATCGCCTTTCATTCACTAAAACTTGAAAGAAACAGAGAAATAGGGTCAGTTAAGAATTTCTTTTTTTCTTGAGGGAGTGAAGAATGTTAAGATGCTATTCCAACAATTGACTTAGGCGATTTATTTCCCCTCAAAAATTACATTTACGGGCAAATATATTCTTAATGTTTCTCAATTCCCGGCACTATATGGGATAATCTATTTGCTGATGGGCTAAAGTTTAAGCAAGTTACGTGCCTCTTGGATCCTCATGTCAAAAGTGCATAACTGACACTTCAACATATCTATGGAAAATTTAATGCTTGCTTGCATGAATTTCATGCCAATTATAATTCAGAGTGACATATTACTTAAATGACTAAGATAGGGTACCTGTGAATCTAGGTTCACTTCAGCTCCAGAGCCAAAAAGTGCATCTCCTTCTTCCATGGCTCCCATAGCTTTCATAGCCTTCATCTCAAAATTATCTTCAGATGGAGCAGGCTTTGATGCCATTGCTTCTTGGATTCGTCTTTGCTGCTCCTCCATTACAGCCATACGTTTACGCTCCTGCACATGTACCAAATGATCAAGTTATCCTCAGTATACTTAATTCTTAAATATACAGTCGCAAATTTATTTTTCAGAAAGTTACCAGGACAGCCCTATCCTCTTCAGGATCAATAGCTTCCTCATTTTCATCACCATGCAACAGTACTGGTGAAAAGGACCCGGGCTCATCTTCAGCTTCTTGATCCTCTCCTTTCATGGGTTCTGGTGAATATGTTTCATCTACTGATTGAACTATACAGAAAAAAAGGGCAAATTTAAACATGAAATTCTGAAAATAAGTCAATGTCTTGTGAACAATTAAATGACAGAAAACTTACCTTTAACATCATCCTGAATATCCTCCACTTCAGATTTTGAATCATAAGCATTCTCCAATTTGTGCTCACCCTCCAATGGTTGCTCAAGGCGTTGCAAATGCTTCCGTAACATTTTTTCATGGATTTCCTTTAAAGTAGCCTGCATTTATGGAAATTTAGAATAGAGAGAACCGTTGATCATGACATGACAGAATTATACACGATTGAAAAAAAAAAAATACCTTGGCCTTATATATGTGGAGGCGTTTTAAAACAGCTTCCCAATACTCAACCACTTTCGCTGTACCACTACTCATTTGAGACTCTATATGCACTCGCATAGCCTCTAATTCAGCACATGTCTTCCCTTGCAAGAGATTCTTCACCTCTGCCTCAACACTGGCATGCAGACCTCTTTCTTCGGCAAGCAACTCAGCAGGTGGTTCTTCCCCACGCACCCTAGCTCGATCAAGAGCATCCTTTTTACGAGCTTCAGCAAGCTCCCAATCACATACCACAAGGAGTGCCTGTATTTAGTAACCATTAATAAACATGTCTTCAGCTTTGAACATGAATTGTGGAAAGAAACTAACTGCCAAAATCCTGAGGTCTTATGAGTCACCGACACAATATATGTTATGCAGTCAAATAGAAGGCCCTTATTTACATTTACCTCCATGCAAATGCAGACAAGACTAGAAAAGTTAAATCAACTCAGAATTTAATGATTCCCAGTCCTTCAATTGATTATTTGGCTCAGTTAAAATCATATATACAGTGGAGAAGCAACAGGCCCACCTCATGTAACCATGATCTTAGGGATTATTCCATCGGTGAATGGAATTTAAATAAGTCTTAAAATCCAAACTGGGAAACCCAACAGAAAGGATAACACAGGAAAAAGGAAAATACAGCGAGAAGGTCAAATTTATTTTGTTAGGAAACTACAAAAACAGCTAAATGATAATTTCATGCTCTGTGCCATTTGAGGATTTTGGTGTAGTGTTCTTGACATGTACAAAATAAAGAAATAAAGATTAAATAGTTTTAGTTAGTTAAGGAGTTAGTTTGTTAAGATTTTCCATAAGGGTCTATATAAGATCCTTAGTGTAGTCAGATATTATGCATAATTGAAAACCAAAAAATATTGTTCAGTTTCTATCTCTCTCTTTGATCCCTTGTCTTCTCTCTATTTCCTGTCTCCCTCTCCCTCTCCCTCCCTCCCCTTTCATCTTCCTTCTCTATTTTCCTCTGTTTCCTCTCTCTTCCTCTTGCCCTACCCTATCATTTCTCTAAAATCAAAACAACCTATTATCCATTTCCACTCCATTTCCTTTGCGTATTTCAGCTTTACCAAACACACAGACAAGTGAAAATACTAGATCCTTGATTTTAGTAAAATAGTAAACAATGTATTTATTATAGTATGATGCCTGGAAGTTACACTGGGCACTCCACAAGTCTTTCATTTCGATAGGAATGGATTTGGACCTCAATTGTGGACATATTCAAGAAGGAAGAGGAGGGGTAGGGATGGGCCTTCGCTGACTTATATCAGGAGAAATATGGAGCATGAAATGGGAGAGTGCACAAGACTTTAGAGGGAAAATGAGGAATTGTACGCCTCTGGCCATTAGAGGAGAAAGAATTAGGGAGTGTAATCAAAGGTGGGGAAGGAGAGGAAGGTAAGTAGACCGTGAGTGAACTGCTGTTGGAAAGCCTGTGCCTCTTGAATGCTTAGGGATCCTGTTTAGCTATTGTTTTATCATATCTCTACTAACACTGTAATCCAGTGAGACTTGCAACAGGATCTTTGGTACATAAATAATATGATTTCTGGAGTTGAATTCATATTTCAATAATAACAACAAACACACTTAAACCAAGCCACAATAAAGTTTCAATCGTTTTTGAACCTATGCTAAACACCACCAACCAGATGTTCCAAGCTTTTAGAATGTAACAGTTCTGAGAAACGGGAACCAAAAACTTCATAAGTTCCACATTTATCCTAATGAGAAAAGGGGGGAAGTCTTCATTTCACTGAACCAAATTTTCCAAAAGCCTAAAAGTTCCATAGTTTTCCAAAGCCATTTGCATTAGAATTAAGAAATGCATTAAAAGATATTATGATAATGATATTTGAAATGATAGCTCCCGAGTGTAACAAAGAAATAGCCTAGGTATTTCATATTTAAGATTAAGATTATGTCTATAATGTGTTCCCGAATAAAGTCAAATATCTAGATTTTGATTACAACAAATTAAGATTAGAAGAAGAAAAGAGGATTATGACGTTAACATCATATAGAAGCTTTTAGTTAAGTAATCAATGAAGGACTACAACGCAACTAAGTAAACTATGGGAAGGAGTGATACCTCCCAGTATTCCACGTGGGTTGGTGTCTCCCTGTCAAGGTCAAGATGCATTTTGATATCATCACGAAGCTCTTCCATTTCTTTCACAGTCAAGCCCTGCAAAATATATGTAAAATCTGGTGATATTGACATTCAAATCCAGAAATCACACCATACAAAAATGACAGAGTATGATGAATTTTTAAGAGGTGTATCTCACTATAGAGTCAAAAGGAAAAAGAGACATAACATAACGCTATGAAACTAAAAGTAATAACCTTGAAAACCATGTATGGTTCATTTATTTCAATATCCAAGTCGTCTGATCCACTGAGGTGTTTGGTTAGGATATCAATTGGCTTGGCACGCCCTTCACGCAATCTAATCTCTGACCTGACTTTGCTTTGGTCAAAATGAAACTGCAGACCAAGCCGTATTAGTCAACAAATTGCCAATACTAGATCAAACAAGAACAGAAATAATTGAACGCACCACAATACCTCTTCTTCCTTTTTTTCCCAGTCCTGGAACTCAGCTCGAGCACGTTCTCTGGCTAATATTGCCTGAGAGAGTAAATCACAAAAGATGGCATGGTAAAGTGAGTGACTATCAACTGATCAACTAACATTTACATCAGTCCAGAATTAAACTTTTCAATGTGTCAGTCACATTTAGAGTCTCAACTTCATTTTCATTAATGGAGTTACTTTTTTCATTTTTCAGGACATACTTTAAAGGATAGGCCAAATTTGTAGGGTTATCTTATTTTATTTTATTCTTTTTTTTAAGGCAAGGTTAACATACTTTGTAAAGCTATGTAGCAGAATAGCACTACAGACAAGGCCTACGTAGGCACATATGATATATAGTGGTGAGACGTAAGTTTTGCATCATGCCTCACAAATTAAGGTACTTACCATTTCTTCCTCATGTTGTGCTTTCTCAAGCGCCCTTTCTTCCCTTCTTTTCTTCACCTTTTCAATTTCTGCCTGCATTGTCATTCATGAGATCTCTGAGTCTGTATTCAGTGAGGACAATAAAATTTAAAGCATTCATCATGGCCTTTTACATGATATCGAAAAGGACACATAGAAGGACATTCCAACTTAATCAAAAATATATATATATAATAAATAAAAATATATAACACATCATATGTTGAGGCCTGAAACATGTACTATGGGATATATCTACAAAGTAAGAATTCCAATTTATTTTAAAATCAGTGAAGCACTCTAAATCAGATGGCTTCCATACTTTCATAACGTTCCTGCCCAAAAATTAAAAAACATCGCTAGGCCATAAATTGGTTGTAAAATAGAAACTTCCGAAATTGAAATTCATTTGAATCTTAAAAATAATTTTTTTATGATACAAAAATAATTATTAGTCCATTAGAAAGATATGTTCAAACTTGAAAGGAGACCAAGTTTGTGTTCCCCTAAATCACTCCTCCTTTCTCAATAAACCACACCCAATACCTATGAAATCTAAAACATCAGTATAAATTATATATATATATGTTTGCACAGCATAGAAAGTACAAATTATCAACAATCAAATAATAAGTCTCAATTAACATAATGCAATATTTTACTAACAAACATTAAAAAGAAAATGAAAAGTCCCTCCAAAAAAAAAACACACACACACACACACACAAACACACACACATACCATCCTTTCTCTCTGTCTCTTTTTCTCAGCCTTGACCGAAAAATTATCGAGCGGAATACCTTGAGAAACATCTCGCTCTATTTTCTTTCTCCAGACAAATCTACAAACAAACATTTTGTGAGTATGATATGGTAGGCATCAGTCAACAACTTAATACATCACTTTCCAGCAAAACACACAACAGATTCTAGATCATTGCAATATAAAATCTTAAACAGCCATAGAGGATCCAAACACAGCACCCACAGAAAAATAAATAAATAAATACATAAAGGTCAAGATATCAAAGATAACTTAGTATTTGTAGCAAGTCGCTCCAAAGATGTCAAATGAAAAGCATTCAAAGAAGAAAAGGCCCAGCAATTCAAGCCAGCGTCACCACATCCTCCGTGTAATCCACAAAGCTAGAATTAGTAGGCTAGTCAAGCATTCATTTTATCTGAAAGCACAATTCCAGCAAGTTTTCAAAAATAATCTCTATTAGATAATACCATAACCAGAAGTAAATTGAGGAATAAAATACCACAGGACACTCAACCAATATCAACAAGCTATTTGATACAGGTTTATAATTCTGTATGATAGAGAAAGTAGGAAAGAATAGGGAAGATCGAAGAGAAGAACAGATAAGGTAGAATTGAGAGAGATTGAGAGGAATTAGGAGAAACAGAAGAGAGAGAAGTACTGAATAGTGCTGAAAGCTGCTATTGATCTGACATAGAGTTTTACAATTGAATTATTGGATATTTATAGGACTAATACCCGACGGACATAAGCCGACTAACTAACGATTATATCCTCCAACAGAACATAACCAACTAATGTCAAAATCATAATAACATAACACTGTTTATGTATAATGCTTGCCCTAACTTAGCATCATTGACTCCAGAACTACCGATTGCTCCACTAGCCGCAGAAATTAAAATACTTAAAAGAATATTGAACATGGAGTGCTTATCTCCTACGGTCGAGCATCTAACAAGTTCAATTATCGAATATTTAAAAAGTTAACAAAGCAAAAAAGAAAATTAGGAAGAAGAAAGAAGCTTACTTCTCATTGAGATTAGAATCACCGAATGGATTTGAATCGTTCGCATAACCCGAGACAGTATGGGTTTTCAATTTTTTTGCAACTTTCATTGCCTAATCATAACAGCAAAACGTAGACAGTGTCAGCAAAAAATAGCTCAAACTCAGTCATAAAACAACATACACTGAGAACCACATATAAACCTTTCTCTGAGCCTTTTTCGCCAAGTACTCTTGTATTTCTTCTTCAGTAATGATCCTCGAGGAGCTTTTCTTCTTGCGACTCCGTTGGTCACTATCATCTGAGTCCTGCTCGGCTGGTGCGCTCCGACGCTGCGACCGCCGACTACTGCTACGACTACGATGACTACTCCGGCGCTTGTCAGAGCCCCTTTCGGGCGATGATTGACGGCTACCTGACTCATCGGACAGGAAAGATGATTCAGATTCAGAATCGTCCGAACTTCGCCTTGACCTACGAGAACGTTCTCTCCTACTCCCGCTGCCCATTATCTTCAGCGTACTGAGAGAGAGATGGAGAGACCTGACACCAACTGGGAAAGAAGGAGCCAAAGTCGACGGATGAGAGTGTCGAGGCGCCTGCGAGGAGTCCGATCAGAAGAGAATCCCCGTAGGAGAATGATGTGATTTGGGAGGGCGATAAGCAATTGAGCCGGTGATTTGGTGGATTGAGGCCGCGACCGGGGGTGCTGTTGAAATAATCATAAATAAATATATATTTATTTATTTTAATATTTTAATTTTATATAAAATTTTAATTTTAATTTAATTTTTTAATTTTGATATAGTTTGATATCGTTATTTTTAAATAATTAAATTTTAGGTTAATCATAATTATTTTAAAAAAAATTAAATTTAATACGTTAACATTTAATAATTTTTGTCAAAAAGTTTAATGAAAATATTTATTAAGATAAAATTAACATTTTTAATATTGAATAATTAAAAAAACACTTTATAAAATTAAAAAATTAAAATAAAATATTGTATAAAATTTAAAAATTAAATGTGCACTTTAATCATTAAACAAATAATTTTTTTATTGTACATTCTTAAAATATTTTTATTTTTATTTTTTATTTATTGTTGTTTGAAAATAGAGTTGATAATTTAGGTTAACCCAATAGGCTAGCCCAAACTCATTCAAAAAATTTAGAGCCAAATTTAAAAAAATATTATTTTTTTATTGTTTGAGACGTTTGAATAGACACGATAAAATTTAAGCCAAGTTCAATCAGATTCGAACTTAGCCCAAATACCTTAATAAAAAATTATAAAATATGATAAATATTAATTAATTTTTTAAGTTTTATATCATTTTATAGCAAAATACTATATATATTTGAGTGTATTAATATAGTTATTTTTTAAAAAATTAAAAAAAGTTATATTTTCATATTTTTGTTATTTTTAAATGATAAAAATCTCAAAATAATATTTAAAATATATTTTAATATTAATTTTTACATTTTATGACTTAATTTTTTAAAAAAAATTGATTCCTATACATCATTTGCTTATAAAAATAAATTTTATATTTTATATAAATTAGGATAATTAATTTTAAAATAAAATTAAAAATAATTTAAAAAAAATTCAGGTATGTATAAATTTCTAACTCTAATATTAGATAAATATAATAAATAAAATATTATTTTTAAATAATTATTTGGTTATTCTCAATGCTAAACTTGGTTAAAAATTAAAAATAAATTAGAATAAAAATTTCTTATATGTAAGGGTTAAACAATATAAAAAGTTAAAGAAAAATTACTTAAAAAATAATATTTTACTCATAATTAAATAATTTTATTTTATATAATATAAAACATTCATATATGATATGATAAGAGTAATATTTAAATAATTAAGACATTAATTTATAAGTAAAAAAATATTTATAAATAAATTATACATAATATAATAAAATAATAACAAAGCTACTTAAGTATGAGATTGATAAGTTATTTTTTATTTTATTCTTTTAAAATTAAAATAATATTTTATGCTTAATAAAATTTTTTAAAAAATTAAAATTAATTCAAAAAATAAAGAACAAATATTTTTAAAAGTTTTAGACATTCGGGCCGGCCCGAAAGTATTAGGGTCGGGCTTACTTATATAAGCTTTTTAAAAAAGATAGTATATTTTAAACCCGATTCAAATAAGCACAACTCATCTAAATTACTGACTCTATTTGAGAACATGGTCATCATCATCATCAATATATATAGTAAAGTGCATATATGGTATTGCTTCTCTATAGTTGAATGAACCATATTTTTAAAAAAATTTTATTTTTGTATAGTAAGAATTTATATGGAACCTACAATAAAAATTTAAAAAAATAAGTGTGAGACCCATGGTAAAAAATACTTGTAAATATGAGACTCATAAAACAATATTATGTGATTTAATTTTTTTTTTGTAAGTGTAGGAAATTTAGTATTTATTGCTTTTTTTGTATATGTATAAGATAATTAATTGTATATAACATACAAATTAAGAAAATAAGTGTAGAACTCATAGTAAAAAATACTTGCAAAAATGAGACTCATAAAAAAATAATATGTATGGGGTCTAATATTTTTTTGTAAATGTAGGAGATTTATCATTTGTTGCCTGTATTTTATATTTGTATTAGATAATTGATTGTATAAAACATAAAAATTTAAATAATAAATCATAAAATAGATTATTTTATTATTTAAATCAATCAATTTATTCTCATTCATTTTTATATATAAGTAAATTTTAATTATTATGTCTGAAATTAAAAAGTTTAGATTGAGATTTATTTGTGATTAACATTTCATTTTTTCCTAATTTAATGATATTATCATTTAATGAAGAGTAATTGAGAAAAAATGTCAGAAATATTTTTTGAATTTTTTTTGCTTATAAAAAAAACAACAAACCATATAAAAATTTTCCTTATATTTAAAAATTGAGAAAATATATAGTAAAATTTGTCAATGAATTATACATAATAGAACTATAGTAATTTTTTGAAATATATCATATTTAGATTTAATGATTGAAATAAATCACATCACTTAATAAGTGTCACATGTGGTATGATAATAACTATTCAATTTAATTTGACTATTACTCCTTCTGTTCAAAAAAATAAAACATTTTTTAAGGAATTAAATATTCAAAAATGTAAAGAATTTTTAATTTTTTGAGACATAATCATTATCTTTTTTAAAAAATATCATTATTGATAGTGACTTTATATTTATTATGGGGTATTTAATAAGAACAAATATAAAAATATAAAGTTAATTTAAAAATAAATAAATACTTTATTGAGAGGTAAAATTCAGTTAAAATTGACTTTATTTTTTTAACGGAGGGAGTGTAAGATATTCTATTATATAATAATATCTGCTTTTTTATCATACATGTTAAATGTCGAACAAGTAATAAAAAAGTAACTTAAAAACTTATAATAAAATTATAAATTTAATTTTTTGACAAATTATAAAAATTCAAGTCTATATTCATTGAAATTTAGATTTACTTGCATAGGGAAATAAATTATAATAAAACAAAATTTTATAAAATAAATTGCTTATTTTTACGCATAAGATGCATTTTTAATTTGTTATCCTGTAAAACAAATTTTAAACTAGAATAAGTTGGTGTTCATATACTTAATATCCATGGGTAATGAATTTTAAAATAAAGTACATTGTTTATTTTTAAAAATAAAATGAACCTTCAAGTCCCTCAAATTTCCTTAATTATTGATTTATTTTTTCAAGTTCAATTTTTATTAATTTAATTCCTTACGTTTTCTTAAATTGTTACTTTAATATTTTAGGTTTTGAAATAAAAATTGAATCTTAAGTTAATTTGGCATATAAAGTATGTTAAAACCTGACAAATTGGATATGGCTAAATAAAAATAAATATGCCTTCAAGTGAATTTGATTTTATCATTAATTTATGTGACTATCAATTCAATATTTTTTATTATATTAACAAATTTCAACAATATATTACCTCTTCTTCAAAAAATAAACTTGAAAGATTAAATTATTATTAAAGTAAATTTAAATGATTAAATTGTCACTGAGGCAAACTTGAATGACTAAATTGTTATTGAAGCAAATTTTATCATCACTTTTTAAATATGCATTAGATAATAAATTATAAAATAGAATGAGTTATAATCTATATTGAATGATAGTATTTTTAATATATTTTTTGTTTGTGTACATTATAATTTAATTTTTAATTTTAAAATTTTAATAACAAAATATAAAGGTAATAAATTTTGCTTATAAAATGTCATTTGTGTTTTTAATATATATAAAATGACAAGTTATATGAGAAAATAAGTTGATAAAAAGATGAAGAATTTTATAATAAAAAGTTGCGTGAATACAAAAATTATTTTTGAAAGAGTGATTTTAAATTGCATTGAACAGTACTCCAATTTGACTTAGTTAGATAATATAAAAAAATGTGTTATTTACATTTTTTATATGTACAAGTATAAGAAATTCTTAAATAAAATAAGTAGTTATTTATATTTACAAGTAATAAATTTTTAACCAAAATATGCTTTTTAAATTTTAATTTACCTGGAGATCACATTTAAAAAATTTTTATATTTTTATATGCAGATGATATAATATTTTAAAATAATTTATGTAAGAAAAAAATAGATTGTTATCTTTTTATTGTTAATAAGTATTCTCTTATTAAAAATAATTCTATTTGAGGTATAATTGAGCATTAAATGTGAATATCTCTACTAACGAAAAGTATTTTTATCCTCCTTTTATTATATATAGCCTATACAAAAATAAAATAAGATGTTCATATATTTTAAAAGAAAAATATTCTAAAACAAGATACCTGTTTTAGATTTTTATTATTATACATTTTAGAATTTTAATTTATATGATTATAATAAATTATAGGTTAAAATAAATTATTGCCTATATTTGATTATATATGGGATAACAGATTTTATGAAAAAAATTATTGATTATTTCTATTTTTTAATCACAATGGGGAAATAAAATATATAGTTAATTTTTATTATTATAATTATTTATCTATAACCATATATACAATTTTATTTCATACTTTCTATAAACTATTATTTTTATAAAATTATTAAATTAATATTTACTCATAATTTAACTTCTATTAATTTTTATAATTTGTTTGGATCAAAGAAAATGATTGAGAGGTAGGATTTTAAATTTTGGTGACCTCAATTTTAAAAAATTGAAGAATTGTGGTCAGAAATTTTTAATTAATTTTTAATTTTTTTAACGTCTATGAAATAAATTTTATAACACATTATATTTGTCTATTTAAAAAACTCAATAAAATATTATCTTTCCTCTTTTATTTACTTTAAATAAAAATGAGGATTAAAATTTAGTTTTTTTAGTAAAAAATTTTAGATATTGTCCCATTTAACTTGATTTTACAATTTTCAATCTCTAAACAGCTTTCTAGTTTATTAAACTAATTTTTTAAAAAAATTTAAATATTAATATTATTAGACATAGATTTATTAAACTTAAATAAAAATGAAAAGATTTGAAAATTTGAAATAAAAATCAATGGTTTTAGTGAATTATTATAAAAATTTACTATTTTCATTACATGAGTTATAACTAATATTTTTTCCATTTAAAAAT